TCTCTCTCTCTCTCTTTCTCTCCTTCACTTTGGCGACAGAGCAGCCCGACTCGACTGACGGGCGCTGCACGTCTCTCCCTTTCTTTTGCGTGTACGCAGATTTATTCACTTCTGCAAGGGCCGAATCAAAACCTCGGCCGTCGCATTTTGCATTTCTTGCTATTTCTCGGGGCTGCCGAGCGCTCTTCTTGATTTCGGCGCGTGCGTCAGCTTAATGCATGATCACCGCAGTCGTGAGCGTGTGATCTGGCGAGCGTCTCGACGCGCTCCCATGCCCTCACCTCAAGGTCACATTGGAATCCCGAGGCCATGATTGCCGCCATGTTGAGCCCAACACGCTTCGGTTGTCTCGCCACACTGCCTTGCTTGCCGCAATAGGTGCTAGACATAGCTCAGCACGCTCAAAACCGTGAATGAGGCTGGTCATGGGCGTACTTTCTGAAAGAAAATGTGATTGATACATTGAGAGCAGAGGAGCAAGGACCGCCTCGTGGATATCGCTTCGATGCCCAAAGCGCCGCTTAATATGCGTGCTGCGCCTATTGCTACGCACCACGCACTACGCCGACTCAAATGTCGTCGAGACCGGGATCATCGCTGCCAGGCGCATCTTCGTCGCTACCGTCGGCGTCCTCGTCCACAAGCTCGTCCAACGGCGCGTGCGGCTCTGGTGTAGCTGTCGCCTGGTCCCGGCTAAGATCGCCGGAACGCGTCGCACTTGCAGCAAACGACGAAGAAGCCGAAGCCACACCCGAGGATAAGGAGCCGCTGGAACTGGCTGCAAGGACCTTCTTGAGGTGCTCGGGGTCGATGGGCAGTCGCGAGGCGGCCGTCGACGCAAAGTCTGTCGCCTTCAAGCTGAAGGCCTCGGCCTCGTATTCTTCCTCCTCGTAGTCGCCATCGGCATCCGCATCTGCATCGGCGTCCAGGTCCATCTCGCCATCACCATCAGCACGGTCAAACTCGCCAGGCCCGGCTGCGACGACGCCGCTAGCCGTTTCTGTCGCCTTCTTGCGCGCCCCATCCTTGTGAACCGTCGAAGCAGAGCTTGCGGACGAGTGCTGAACACCCAGAGGAGGCAGCAACGTATGCGGTCTCTTTGTCGGCGATGGAGTGGGTGTGGACGCGGCGACCGACGCAGGTCGCGAAGTATGCCGCTCGCCGGCATCCAACGTGGCGCTCGCCGCACTGTGACCGGCTGGCGTCGAGGCTGTAGCGCGGGCAGAGACGCGTTTGTGAGCTGCGGCAGCGGGACTCGCGCGCGCACTGGTGGCACCGCTGCGCCCCGGCGTCCTCTGCACCTGGCTGAGCACCGAGTATCCCAGGTTTGCCATCATCTCCGCCGGCGTGTACGTGCCCGATCCCGACGGGCCGGGCGTGCCGTTCAAAGCGCCAATGTTCCCGTTGGCGGGCGCCGCGATGGGCTGTGGGAAGGACCGAGACACCAGGAACGGCGTCCACTTGAGCTTGTCCGCTCGCACCTTGAGGTAGCCTTTCGACTCGTAGTTCTTCAGATGCGCCACCACGTAGTCGCGGTCAAAGTGGATGCTGTAGTCTTGCGGCAGGTATGCGGCCGCGTTCTTGTCCCGGTCCTTGTACAGGTGCGCGCTCGGCGCCGCGGTCGTCGACGGTGGCCTCGGATGTAAAGGCGGCCGCCCACGCTTGCGCGGTTGCTTGGCCTCGGTCGCCTGCCCACCGCCCTTGATGGCCGAGGTGGCAGGATTGCCAGGCGGATGACCGTCTCGCGCTCGGTACTTGCTCGTGGCCGGGGTGCGGCTGTTGCCGTTGTTGCCATCGTAGACCACGATCATGTCCTGCTCGCGCAGCACGTAGAAGATGTCTTCGAGCTGCATCGCCGTGGCGCGGCTGATGTCCTCGAGCGTGACGTGGTCCGGCGCGATGCGCAGAAAGTAGAACACGGCCAGCGTCCAGTAGTTTCGATAGCTGAGCAGGCCGAGGTCGCTGAGTGGTTTCTCGGGCGAGCCCGTCCTGCCTTCCTTCTTGGACAGCAGGAAGCTGATGTCGATGAGAAAATTGCCCCAGCCTCGCCTCTGGCGCACGGGAAGCGTCATGATGCACGACACATTGTAGTTCATGGGGCTGCGCTTCTCCTTGCTAAAGTAGCCCACAAAGTGGTCGCCCGTGCTGTCGCCCTCGGTGACAATGTAGAAGAGGAACGGCTCGACGTCGTAGTAGAGCGTCTTGTGGTCGAGAAACATCTTGGCGAGCAGACACAGGTTCTGACAGTAGATCTTGTTCTTCCTGCCGTCCACCTCGTAGACGCAGATGTTGCCATCGCGGTAGATCTCGTCGCCGGGCGGATGTCGCATCTTGCACTTGAGGCGGTGACGCTGCGCCATGAAGCGGCTCTTCATGTATTTGAGGCAGAACTCGCACATCCAGAGCCGCCCGTCGGGCACCATGCTATACTCTTCCGGATACGGCGCTTGGTACCACGTGTCAATGTCAAAGTCGCCAAAGCGGATGCACTTGATGGGGGAAGCCGTGCCCGTCTCGGCGCTGGTCGCCGAGGTTGTGATTTCGACTTGGGATGCTGCGATGGGAGTGCCGGGCGTCGCACTCGAGGGTGAATGTCGAGGGATGAGCTGGGCACGCGAGATGCGCGAGCCACCGACGGGTGTGTCTGGCATCGAGGATGCGCTGGGATGGCGAGGCGAGGGAGCCGCGCTTGCTATGCTAGAAACGTCGGGTCCCCTCACGACGCGGCTGCCGGACATGCCCGGAAGACTGGCCAGCGTACCGCCAAGTCGGTCTTCGGCGGCTTTGCGCGCGCGATGGAAGCGCTCAGTGTCGAGTGGTGTGGGTTTGTACGGTAACGTCAAGGCATCAGTACCTGTGAGAACGCCGCCAAAGGGATCTTCTTCCTCTGGGCCCTTGCTAGCCTCGTCATCACTCGCCGGCTCCTCGTCATCCTCGTCAGCAGTCCGTTTCGGGGTATCGGCGTCATGCGCAAGGCGCTCCGAATGATGTTCGCCGTCCGAGGATCCCGATCCGGATCCGTCACGGTCGTAGTCGAGTGTATGCCTGCTGCTGCTGGCACGTGGATGGGCGCCATTGGAAGTCGAGCTGGACCGTTGATGGGAGCCCGACGCAGCTGCTGACTTGCGTGGACGGCCACGCTTGCCGCTTCTTGCCGAGCCGCTGGCCGGGCCGGCGGCCTTGCGGGAGTTGCCGTTGAGCGGCAAGGCGAGATCGGTCGCATCCTTTTCGTGGCCACCGCCAGCCTGTCTGGATATCCAGGGCGAGGCAGGCGCCAGATTGAGGATGGAGCCGGCAGCGTTGAGAAGGCCGTTCTTGAGCGAGCTCATGACGGCAAAGTTGGTGCCAGATTGGGATCGCAGCTTGGCGTCTGCATGCATGGGCGTCAAGAGAAGCGAGTCAATGCTTCGATCTGGATTGGACGGCTTCTTTGGTCGACCGGAGCTCGAGGCGCGCATCGGCGCTGGGTGCGGAGAGGACGGATGCGAAGGACGGACTGGTTGCGTGTCACCCGCTTCACAAGTGGGACACTGCCATTGACCCTTTGGCGGCTTGGCAAGGGGCGGAGAGAGGCAATAGAGATGCCAGCCACGATCGCAGCCATCGCAGAACATGAGCTGTGCCTGTTGTAGGTATGAATGTGAGACAGGAACAGAAGTGAGAAGCCAGAGACAGAGCCGGTCAGCAATACTGTGCGCCGGACCACGAAATGAAGTCAAAGCGGGGGCCGTGCGGGTGGTGGGAGGATACTCACGTCGTCGCCCTTGTCGCAGCAGATCTCGCACTTTTTGCATTCGATGCACCTCCACTCGTAGGATAATGCACTGCGTACTTTGGTCGGTTTGCGGCCCCAGCGCAAGCAAGCTGGATGGCCGCTGCTGCCGCATTCGAAGCAGGAGATGAGCAGTTTTGGCGTATTCTCCTTTGGTCGGTCGGCAGGTTGCTGGCAGAAGGCGCACAAGTCCATGGGCTCAGCACGCTGTGAAGAGAGAACGACTGCGCGCGCAGCAGGTATAGATGTAGATGGAGGCTTTGTATGTGACGGCGGTGCATTGAGCTTCCGCTTCTTTGCGGGGCTCTGTAGCGCGCTGGCGAGGTGATTCGTTCTGGGTACTTTGGAAGGCGAGGCGGAACGCCTAGAAGCAGGCATCTGCCTCGCTGCAAGCGGATCCGCAGCGAGGCTGACGGGCTGAACGGTCATCATCGCTCTGATGTCGGAAGAGGAGTGCATGGAGTGCATGCCATGGTCGGTCGACTTTGCCGCTCGCTGCCGGAGTAGTGACAGGTTCGTGGGGTGGATCGGACGAGACGCGTGGGTACCAGGAGCAAAGCGCTGCTTCCAATGGTTGCAGGTGTAGAGAGGCCAAGTTAGCGCGTGGTCGACCCCGAGTCGCGTTCGCCACGATGCCGGTAGTCGACGCTTTGAAGCGTGATGGCGCGGTTGCCGTGCGTGCTCGCAGCTCTACTCCGACCTGCACTCGGATGGTGCAGCAGCCGGTAGCGAGCGTGGATGGAGACTTTCGGTCTGGCCTGTAGATGTGCCGACGAGGTCGAAATGAAGTGAGGTAAGGTGAGGTGAAGTGAAGCCGCAAGGATGGTGACGAGGGCCGCGAGCTCAGCAATCGGATGAAGGCTTTGGCGGTTAGAGCCTCTCGCGCCGCTAGCTGCAGAGTCACAGTCACGCTCCCGCCCTTTCTCGCTCGCTCTCCACTTTGTGGACTTGGCTGCTGGCGTGCCGCGGCCGTGCGCGTCTGAGTGGGAAAATAATGTGGCGCGAGGCAGCAAAGCGCAGATTCTCGCGCCTCGGCGCACTGCATCCACGACCAGAAAGCCAACACGCTCGCTCACTGCTCAACTACCTGCACCGCACAAAACACAGAGTCGCGACAAATTCGCCTCGAAACGCCCTTTCGCGTTGCTCTCCTCGCTTCACGCGGCGAGGACCCTGATGGCGCCGCCTCAAGCTGCTGCTCTCTGCTGTCATTCGAATACGGCTTCAAGAGTGTCAGTCAAGCTGCTATGCTGTGATTGCAAGAGAGGCCGCCGTTGATGGCTATGAGCAGCGTCTAGTACGTGAGATCCGACCAGGCGAGCGAGTAGAGCAAACCCTGCCATCTCTGTCGCGTATAGTGATGGTCGTGCAGCGCGTGGTCTGCCTGGCTCGCGTCCTGCGCTTCGAGGGCAGAGGTGGCGGCGATGCGTGCAATCTGCTCGTCGACCCGCATCGTGAGCTCCTCGACCAGTCGCTGCAGCGCCTTTCGCAGTCGCTCGCACTCGATGCGGAAGTGTTCGCGCTTGTGCGTCTCCGACTCGATCCAGCTCGCCGAGACATCGGCGCTCATCGAAGCATCTGCCATGCTCGCATCAAAGCCCTCGTAGGCGCTCCGCTTCGCATATGCGTCTGGCTGGGCACCCCATGCCTCGTACTCGCCGATCGACCTGTCCAGATTGAGCTCCTCAGCCGCCTCGTCGTCGTCGTCCTCCTCCTGTTCTTCCGCCTCTTCTTCCTCTTCCTCTTCTTCATCCGCCTCGGCGATCGCGTCTAGTGGTGCACCGTCCTGCTTGGCTCGATCGCGTCGCTTCCTGCGGCGTTCGCGCCGCTTTCTCCGTGCGAGCCGCTCCTCATTGCGCCCGCTCGCGCCGATGAAAAGCTCGTATGTGCTCACCACATCCACGCCCAGCCGCCAAGCTGCATCGAATAGCTCCTTGACCTTGCTCTGATCCGCGCGATGGAAGCAGAGCATCTCCATCTTGGCCACTGCCGCCGTGTGGGTCTGAATCGCATCATCCAACGACACTACCCCCTGCAGATCCACACAAAGCCGCTCGCTTCCGTCCAGCACAACATCGCGCTGAACGAACTCGATCAGCGTGCGCACCAGCCACTGCGCCTGGCGTCGCAACGACCAGTACTTGCGCATGTGCAGAGTCTCGGGCCGCGCGAGCTTGACCGTGCTCGCCAGCTTCCAATGCGCATACTTGGCCTGCAGCAGGCTCGTAAAGATGCTCTGGTGAAAGCGCGTGCACTCCGGTGGGAACACGAACGACAGCGGCCACGGCACGTCGTACTCGACGCGAATGTCGGCAAGACGCCCGATCCTGGACCGACTCCGGGCGGCTGCGCGCATATCGCGGTCATCGTCGCCCTTGTGGAAGCGTACGAGACTCGTGTCGATCCAGGCGCGACCGGCAGTGCGCTGTTGGTGGTCTTCCATGCAATCGTGGAAGCCCGACGTGAGCCGACTCGGCTCGATCGCCCTGATCGCACCGTTGCGTCGGTCGAGGTCGAGAAAGAGCGATTCGGTCCAGCTCGAGATTTCAGCACCGCGCTGCATGAAGAGCAGGCCGTGACAGGCTTCGAGGTGCGACTGCAGAGCATAGCCACCTTCCGGAGCCGGCGATGTGAGCACCTCGATCAGCCGCTTGCGAACGATCGCACTGATCGGCGACAGGTGCTGCCTCAGCGACCGACCTAGCCTGATCTCGAGCAGACGCAGTGATGCGCTCCTTGAAGTCCCGGCTGTGGCTCCATGCCAGAATTCGTCGGCATCCGGCTGGGAATCTGGCGTCAGGGGGAGTTCCTCGGCCATGCAACGGTTGCTGTGCGTGCCGTGAGGAAACAGGATTCGACGCAACTTGCTTCGCGCCTCCCATCCTGTCAAGCTTCTAGTGGCATGCTGGATCTGCGTCGCATCTGCGTCTTCGTCGTCGTCTGGCAAGTTGTCCACCGCGAGGCCCTTCGTAGTGTGATCTACTTTGAACAAGATCTCGACGTTGAGGATCCGTCTCAGATCCGAGTCGGGCTGGACCTCGCCGAGCGCATCTATGCCAAGACTGCGGAGCAGTCCGACGCCCTTGGACGTGGTGATGACATCGTCTGCAATTGACTGCAGGAATGCCGGCGGGCTGTAGCCGTCTTCGGTGTCTTCATCCACGTTTCCGCCGGCGAGCGCCTGGCGAGCGCGGTAGCCTGAAGTCCAGAAGCTCTTGTCCGAGGTGGCGAGGGAGACGTCGTGCTTGACCAGGTGCTGGACCAGGCGATCGTCGAACAGCGGGTCGTCCTCGCGCATGATGGCGAAGCTCAGACCTCGTCGTATGAGCTGACACACCGAGCTCCATGCTGGTCGGCAAGCCGCAAGCAGACACCTGCTCAGGTCTGCCACGACCGTCTCCGGCACAGCCATCGTGTCTTGTTGGTGGACAAAGTCCAGCAAGGCTTGCAGACCGTCGATGAGCGCACGATCGCTCGAGCTCCGCAAAATTCCGGCTCCGATGCCAGCATGAGTGCTGCGATCGTCGATAGCGATGAACCCGATCGAGTGTAGCAGCCGGGACAAGAGCAGGAGTGAGGATGCCTCGTGGTGTACGTGGCCGACGAGCTGCAGCATTGTCGAGTACCGTGCTTGCCAAAGGGGCTGCGGTTTGGACGAAGATATCGATGCCAAATCTGCATCCAGTTCCGAGAGGCGCAAGGAGAGGCGTTCGAGCAGTATTTGTAGCTGCTCCGCAAAGGCTTCGACGGCGGGCGTACGGGTAAGTGCATCGACTGCGTGGATACTTTGCGTGACAGTGGCGTTGACGAAATGACGCAAGGTGTTGAAGGTGCTGGCGAGCGTGGCCACGTCTTGCATCTGCTCGGAAATGCCCAGGAAGAGGCTGGAGGGAGCGAATGGGCCTTCGGCCAGGCTGTACTGACCAGCGTCGCTGCAAACATACATGGCACTCGAGCAGCCCATGAGGGCAGAAAGGCTTTCGCGAACGGCGTCGACCTCGGTCCATGTTTTTGGTCCATTCCGCACGTCTGCGACTATGAGCTTGTGAAGCGCATCCGCACGCGAGGAGCGCTGCTCAGTCCAGCGATCGCGCTGTTGCATCTTGGCCGTGGTGGCAGGTGTGAGCTCCATGGCGCTGGAAGCGGCCGCGAGTCGCGCTCTGCGCCTTCGGTCCTCCTTGTCGCTGTCGTACTCGAGCTCCAGCCGCCTCCGTCGCTCATGGTCGTCATCGTCCCCTTGACTCCAATCTGAGAGGTCGGAATTGTCGTGTTCGTCGTCATGCTCCATCCATGCATCGCCTTGAAGCGGCTCGTCGACGAGGATGCTGAGCCACTCGCGCTTTTCAGCCTGCCTGCGTTGTTCGGGCGTCAAGTACTGTGCGCGAGCTGGATGGGTTGCGTTGAGCATGAGGTTGGCAGCGGTGCGTGCGGTGACATCTGGCGGTTTCGAGAGGAGCAAGAGCAAGCGCACTGCATCCGAAACGTTGTCCGGTCGAATGAGAGGGTCGTGAATGTGGCGAGTGTCGAGGCCGCGGCGTTTGTACGAGTCTCGAGCCTGGTCGGCGAGATGCATGGACCTGTCGCAAGAGACAAGGAGCTCTGCATGGCACCTCCGGAGAGCAAGGGAGAGCTCATGGTCGAGATGGATGCTGTGTTTGAGCGAGAGTCCCTGGATGGCGGAGGCGATCTCGTCGGCGTCGGCGGGTGACCATGAATCCTTATCGATGGTGTGGACGGCTTTGGCTTTTTGAGCTGCCTTTCGAGTCGGGTCTTGCGTACGTTCGGACAAGAAGGCTTGGAGAAGGCGGTCTAGGATGCGCTCCTGCTCGACGCGCTTGTTCGTCTTGGCGCGGCCAGACGTTGATCGGGTCGTAGCGCTCCTCGATGTGCCGACGTTGGCTATGCCGCCTCGGGAGGGCCCTGCGACAGGCGCCATCTCGAGCCACTCGTCGCTGGTGAGCCTGGACGATGGCAGCTTCGCGCTTGGTTGGTGGAGGTTCGCAGGCGAGCGTAGTATCTGCCCTCCTGACTGCAGATCAACACTTTTTTGAGAGGTGGGAGCGGCGCGCCCGACGCGTCAATTTTGCTCCGAAAAGCAATGTGAGATCGATAGTTTCATTCGTGAGTGTTTCAATTTTATTCGCTCCCCGAGGTTGAAGGCATGCCAGCGAGCGGCGAGGCGCACAACTCGGTCGGGTCGGTCGAGGCGCGGGATGGAGCGTGCAGGTATGCCTGGACCTAGACCACATGAGCTGCGTGTCAGGGCAGCAAGGGGGCGATTGGTTTGTGTTCGGCTCGGCCGACTGCAACGCGATATGCCGGCGAAAATTAGGCTGCAAGCTGAGCGTCAGCCGCGTCTTGAGTGGGCGAGAAGAAACCTGTTGGCGAATGGCGAGAGGCAAGTGGCGAGTGGGGCCGTGCGCGCGCATACAGACATGCAGACAGGCAGGAAGAGCCAAGCTGCAGAGCGCCTTCCGAGGCTCGAGGCTCTATTTCTCGCAAGCGAGCGTCAGCACCCGACGCAAGCAGAGAGGCGTGCCGACAGGCAGACAGCCCGACAGACGTCACACATCTCTGGCTCTGTCTCACTTGGGCTGTGGTGTTGCTCTTTCGGCAGCAGGTGTTGGCCCCAGCGTTGCTTGGCCGGGCGTCGAAGGTCGAACGGCAAGAAGTATAAGAAGATCATGCCGTCTGTCATAGCGTGCTTATCGCCCCCACGACTCTTTCCACAAACTAGACTCGCCTCCCTCACATCGATACTCTCAAAAATGTCTGGCTTCGACCTCAACCAGCTCGGCAACATGGCCCAGGGCTTCCTGAACAACAACAACAACAACCAGAACCAGCAGCAGGGCGACAACAACAACAACCAGCAGCAGCAGCACCAGGGCGGCAACGGCGGCTTCGACGTCGGCCAGCTCGCCGGTCTTGCGCAGAACTTTAGCTCGGGCAACCACGACAGCTCGCTGTTCTCGCAGGCAGCTTCGTTCCTGCAGAACCAGGGCGGCAACCACAACGTGGACGAGCAGAGGCTGATGCAGGACCACGAGGACGTCAACAACAACCCTGGCTCGAACTCGGCCGGTCAGATCGGCAACGCCGCCGTGTAAGTGGATTTCCAGCTCGTGCTGATTTTGTTCGATATGCTGACATCTGCTTGCAACCTTTTGCTGGGCTTGGGCTGCAACAGTCTGTCTGCCATCAAGTCTGTACTCGGCGGTGGCGGCAACAACAACAACAGCGGTGGTGGTTTCCAGCAGAAGCTGGTGAGCGCTGCCATGAGCCACGCTGCCGACCTGTACGACAAGAAGGACGGCGAGGGCCAGGCGCAGGGCAACAAGCAGGATGCCGTGAACCAGGCAGCACAGATGGCCATGGGCCTCGCCATGAAGAACCCCGCCATGCTTGCTGGCCTCATTGGCGGCGGCAACTCGGGTGGTCTCGGCGCTCTGGCTGGCATGCTCGGCAAGTAAAGTGTCGCTGGCAACGACCGTCGAACATCTCATAACGAAATGAAAGAGATGCAGTTGTAAGGACGGAGCGTGTGGCACGGACGAGTGCAAGCGCATGAGAGGCATGAACTCGGAGAAGAAGTATAGACCTCACGACGACTTTAGGAAGGAGACGAGCAATGTCTGCACGCCGGCCCGCAAGCGGTGTCGCGGTGTTCGAGGCGGCGTCTCCCACGAGGACGGAGAGGGGCGCACCCAGCGGGGTTTCACCCAACCGCCCAGCGCCACCAATCCCGGAAGACCAACCTCCCGGGTCAGACGAGTTCGGTGTGCCAAGTAAGCCGACTGTTGTGCTGACGGTGAGGTCTGAGCCGGAGATTGTTCTCAGGGCCATTCGGACCGACACAAAGGAGCTGTGCATGCTGAGAAGGCCTTTGTTTCGGCTGCTGCGGGCCTGTCAGACGCGGCCGAAGCGAGCGAAGCCAGCCTCGGCCATGGACTGTGGCACCGGAACCAGCTCGTGCCAGTCAGCCAGCTGGGCGAGCGGAGCTTTTTCTCGCCTCAGAAATTCGGAGACGCGGGCAGGCGCGTTTGGCCGGTTTTGGAAAATCGGCGGACGGACCAACGCATCTTAGCTCTAAATTGTGCTGCTGCTGCTGCTGCACTGCCAAAAAAGAATGCGGATCGACAAACGCATGCATCAGATGCGTGTGCGCGTGTTGCGTGCGGCTCGAAAAGAGACCGGAAGTAGCCCTGCTGGACCGCTGGACCGCTCGACCCTCGCCAGCGCAGGCAGGCAGGCACGAGCCGCCCTGTCTCACAAGCACGCACAACCCCACCCTCTTTCTCGAGAGAGAGAGAGAGGCTTTTGTATCCTTCCAACTCCGCGTGCTGCGCGCGTCACTTGCAGCAGAAGCCTCCTCTCGTCGTCTTGGCCCGGCCCTGGGATTGCAACCACTCAAAAGGCGTCGTCGAGCCTTGCTCACCCTGTCACCACCACCGTCTCCCTGGCCGTCATCCGCACCACCATCCAGTCGTCAAACACGAGCATCCGCTTGGTCAATACCCCAGTATACCACTCCAACGGACGGAAAGCAGTGCCAGTCCTAGACAGGAAGCGCCATCGCACCATCGCAGGCAAAGCTCACTCTACCCTCACTGAACAGCCAGCACACACATCCCGAGACGACCACGATGGCGCACGGACAGCAGTCGAACCAGTCGGCGTCGTTCAAGGTGGGCGAGACGTACAAGATTGTGGATGTGGTGGGCGAGGGCGCGTACGGCGTGGTGTGCTCGGCGATCCATGTGCCGTCGAGCTCGCGCGTCGCCATCAAGAAGATCACGCCGTTCGACCACTCGATGTTCTGCCTGCGCACGCTGCGCGAGATCAAGCTGCTGCGCCACTTTAACCACGAAAACATCATCTCGATCCTCGACATTGTCAAGCCCGACGACTACGACTCCTTCTCCGAGGTGTACCTCATCCAGGAACTCATGGAGACCGACATGCACCGTGTCATTCGCACCCAGGAGCTCTCGGACGACCACTGCCAGTACTTTATCTACCAGACCCTGCGCGGACTCAAGGCGCTCCATTCGGCACAGGTGCTTCACCGCGACCTCAAGCCGTCCAACTTGCTGCTCAATGCCAACTGCGATCTCAAGATCTGCGACTTTGGCTTGGCTCGCTCGGCCAACCAGCCTGAAGCAGAGGGAACGGGCTTCATGACCGAGTACGTCGCAACGAGGTGGTACCGCGCACCAGAGATCATGCTCACCTTCAAGGAGTACACCAAGGCCATCGACGTTTGGTCGGTCGGATGCATTCTCGCCGAGATGCTTTCGGGCAAGCCGCTGTTCCCGGGACGCGACTACCACCATCAGCTGTCGCTCACACTCGAGATCCTCGGTACACCTTCGCTCGACGACTTCTATGCGATCACATCCACGCGCTCGCGCGACTACATCCGTGCACTTCCCTTCCGCAAGAAGCGCAACTTTTCACAAATGTTCCCCAACGCCAACCCGCTGGCGGTGGATCTGATGGAGCGATGCCTCACTTTCAGCCCGCGCAAGAGGATCACTGTCGAGGAGGCACTGGCGCATCCCTATCTCGAACCTTATCACGATCCGGAAGACGAACCTACAGCAGAACCTTTGGACCCAAGCTTCTTCGACTTTGACTATTGCAAGGAACAGCTGTCGCGCTCCGAACTCAAGCGTCTGATCTACAACGAGATCATGCGCTAGTCCAGCTGTGCTGGTAGAGTTGAGTGTTTATCGTGACCCGGGAATCGCGTTGGCTACGTCTCTCATTTTTCGCAATGGCATCTTTTCATCCTATTCGCACATTCACCCGGGCGAGAAGCAAGATGCGAGGGGCACGAGGGGGATATACAGAATGCGGATTTCAACTAGTTGGCGATTCGAACAGCGAGTCAGATGAGGGGAGGAGGGGCCAGTCTAGAACATGATCTCGGCGTCTTGGCGGAAGAGTTGCGAGATGGATTCGCCGTGGTGCGAGCGACGGATGGTCTCGCCAATCACGGCTGAGACGTCCATGATTTCGAGCTTGCCGTTGCTCGCCGCGGCCTTTTCGGTGTTGGGGATGGTGTTGGTGACCACGAGCCTTTCGAGACTGAGCTTCTTGACGAGTTCGATCGACTGGCCGCTCAGGAGGCCGTGCGTGATGATGGCGTACACCTTGTCGGCACCTGCTGCCTCGAGCGTCTTGGCCGCCAGCGCGAGCGTACGGCCGGTGTCCACCATGTCGTCGACAAGAATCGCCACTTTGCCCTTGACGTCGCCGACGAGGATCTCCATGCGCGACGTATTCTCGTCGTCCTCTGAATCGTCGTCGTTCTCGGTTCCGGATTCGGCGAGGTTCTTCTTGGAGCGCCCGCTGCGGACGCGGTGACCCTGCTCGTCGGTCATGATCCACTCGCCCGTCTCGGCGCACTTGATGCCGTTGGCCACATCGCTGTACACGTGCTTGGACGAGTGCGACGAGGAGATGGCCGAGCCCTGCGATTCCGCCGACACGCTCAGTGCGTTGAGCTTGTCCGTCGCCGCCCCCACCGCGGCGTTGGCGTTGTTGAGACCTGTGCCGTCGAGCAGGTACGAGTTGGACATGGGCGTGCTCACGCCCGAACGCAGGTCGTCGAACGACGATCGACTCGACAGGCCCAGCGTCTTCTGCGCCGCACGCTGGCGCTTGTGCTGCTCGCGACGACGGTTGCGGTTGATGAGCGCAAAGTCGACACCGAGCGAGTCCGCCAGTGCAGTGGCGCGCTTGGCACCACCAGCGTCCGGACTGACGATGATGGCGTCGCGCCAGTTGTCGACCTTGGTGCGGATCCAGCGCGCGACGCTCGGTTCCGAGGTGAGGTTGTCGACGGGGATGTCAAAGAAGCCCTGGATCTGGCTCGCGTGGAGGTCCATGGTGATGACGTGGTCGGCGCCTGCGACGGTCAGCATGTTGGCGACGAGCTTGGCGGTGATGGGAGCGCGGCTCTTGTCCTTCTTGTCGTGGCGCGAGTAGGGGAACGACGGGATAACGGCGGTGATGCGGCGTGCCGATGCGGTCTTGCACGCCGAGAGGATGATGAGCAGCTCCATGAGCGAGTCGTTGGGGTCGGTGTACGGCGAGTTGCCCGTCTGGAGCACGTAGACGTCCTCGTCACGCACCGAGCTGCCGATGCGCACGTCGATCGACTGGTCCGCAAACTTCTTGCACACGCACGGCGTGAGCGGGATGCCCAGACGGTCGGCCACGAGCTGCGCCAGCTCCGGGTGGCTGTTGCCCGTGAGCAGCTTGATCGAGTTGACGCCGGGCATGCTGAGAAGGCGAGCGGGCGTTGCGGTAGTGGCTGTAACAGAAGAAGAGGAGGAGAAGAAAGCGCCAGCGCCGAAACGAGACGTGGACAGGTGGTCGGTGACGGCGGAAGGTGAAGCAGCTGCTCGCCAGAGTCCGAGGTCAAGTTAGCATGCTCCAGCCCGACTGCAGCAGCAACCACATATGAAATCCTTCCGTGCGGGTCGGCTCGCTGCCATCTTCGAGTGTGGGAAATGGCAGCGTCCCCACTTTTTTTTCCTGCAACCACCGACGCACGCCCTCGGCTGCCTTTGACTCGTTAAGGAGGCCTTCCTTCTTTGGACGGAGAGGTGGGCTTGAGAGCCCTTCACCAGCAGCGAAAAAGCCTAAAAAATTCGCATCCGTCCGACTCGGCACCGAAGCGTCGAAGGCCCGGAATCGGGAAACAAGGCTTGCTCTTGACTCGATTGCGTCCGGATCGGGCGCACGCTGGAAGAAAGGTGCGTTGAACCCTGAATCCGAAAAAAGTGGGCTTTAGCCGGCTCGGCGACCCCACTTTCTCCCGACCAACCCACACACGTCGGAGAGGTTTGACGATACGATGGCGTCCAACCCAGCGACGGCCCTGCGCGCGGCCAAGCGGCAGCTGCGCAAGTCGATGGCTCAGAAGCTGTCTCTCATGCGCGCCGACGAGATCGCTTCGCAGTCGCGCAAGGTCGCCGAGCAGGTGCTGCGCTCGCAGACGTACGCGCAGGCGCGCGCCATCAGCGTCTACATCCACATGAACGTCGGCGAGGTGGTGACGAACCACATCTGCAGGTCCATCCTCAAAGACGGCAAGCGCCTCTACGTGCCGCTGTTCGCATCGCCCGCTGCACCGGCTGTCGCGAGCGGACCGACGGTGCCCGAGGCGCCCGCACCGGCCAAAACCGAGTTCGCCACGGACATGATCATGCTGCGCCTGCGTGACGTGGCCGAGTACGAGTCGATGGCCGCCAACCGATGGGGCATCCGCGAGCCGCCACTCACGTACGAAGACGGCACCATGCGCGAACAAGGTAAGTCGCCGCGCTCTGTACTATTTGTCCGGCTGTCGGATGCACTGACACCAAGCCATGCGTACCTGTGCGACTACAGCTCTGGACGAAGCATCGGGAGGAGACGGTCTCGACCTCATCCTTGCTCCCGGAGTCGCATTCGACGAGCTGGGAGGTCGGCTTGGTCATGGCAAGGGCTACTACGACCGCTACCTCGCCCGCGCCGATGAGTGGGCCGCTCATAAGGGAAGACAAGGACCCGTCACGGTGGCGCTGGCGCTGCGTGAACAGGTTCTACCACCATCCGAGCGCGTTCCCGCCGACGAGCGCGACCGCGTCCTCGACGGCATCATCTCGCCAGATACATCGATCCTGCCTCCGTCCTCACGATGGCGTCCATGAGAACAATACCGTCGAAAGCGAATCTGCCGGCTGCGTGAAGTGTGTGTACAGTGTGGATGCTAGTAGGGCCGAGCCCCGGTGTAGACGCCGAACTTCCGCCCGAGTCAGCGCTTCGGATGTGGTGGGCATGGCGGTCAAACGTGTGCAGTCTTGCGCAGTCTTGAGCAGGACCCGTGATTGGCAGCAGGGCGACCGCGTGGCGAGGGCCAGGGTCGGAGGAGGGTGCGCCGCCGCCGGTTGAGGGATCTTCACGGCTGGCAAAAGTAACGAGTCGACCATTGGTGCGTTTGGTGCGTTTGGTGCGTTGGTGCGTTGGTGCGTTGGTCCACTGCCGTCTCAGCTCGGAGCGCATTGAGCCGGCAGCAGCATTACCGAAAAGGTCGCCGCGCTCTTCTTCTTGCGCAGGGAAGCTGTTGGAAAGCCAGAAAAAAAAAAGTCGCCAGAAAAGACAAAGGCTTTGGATGCCGGCAGCTGGACAGTGCGCTCCTCCTCCTTCCGAGGCACGGTGGGGCCGCGCAACCAGGCGATCTGCAAGCCCCCGCCCAACTTGGCAGCTGCGACCTCTCGTCTCCTCCCTTGCTTGCGAACCACGCCATGCTGCCTTGTCGACAAGCATTGCGCACCTCGCTCGCCTCCTTCCGCACCACCACCACCACCACCACCACCA